TTATTAGCTACTGCATTAGCAACATTTAAAACCTCAGTATGCCATGCTCAGAACGGGGACAGACAGTAACAGAAGTTTACAGTCCCACCAAGGGAATGCCAGATATCAAAAGTGACAAGAGCTGCCATTTCAAAATAGTCCAGTGACCTTCTTTCATTCTGTTGAACATCAGAAACACTCCATCTCTTACTACTAAAACACACAGCTTGTAGGAAACCGCACTCATGAAGGTAACCTCAACAACTGTAAATTCTCCTCTCCTCAGTTCCAAATATTTGCAGCCCGAGCTCTATTTTTTTTTGTGCCCACAAAAGCAGCTGCCCTATTTAAAGCCTGACATTCCAGCTTCCTCTCCTCCTTCGGGGCACCAACAGGACAGCAGTTTCTGCAATTCTACATATTCCTGACGTGACAAATCATGAAAAACCCTGCACAGGAAGAGAGAGTCACGCCAGCAGGCAGTGCTCCTGGGTACCGCCTGGCGTGTTGGAGACGAGCTCCCAGCTGAGCAGGGAGGCTTTACCTCATACAGGGACTGCACTAACCTTTGCAGAGGATGCTTTCCTCACAGTTCCCAGCTCACCTGCCAGAAGAGATCACCACAGGAGGGTTGATAGGCTTCTTCCCTCCCCTCTCCCAACACTGCTGAATTCAATCAGACTGTTTCAGCACGCACATAAAGCAGGCTGAAGCCAAATACTGAAACACACCGAGCAGTACCCTGTTTTCATGGATTTCTTAGCATGCAACCTATTATAAACACATACTGCCTTTTACCAATTTCCTCTCTTTAATGGAAATGGGTCACTGCTACATAATATATTACACTACATTTTCAAACAAAACTATTTTCCTGTTTCCAGATCTCTGTATACTGCTCCCTCCTGAAACTCCTTTAAAAGCCGTCCTTTAGAGTGCCTCCGCCTACACGTTCTGAGTATTTCCATTAGATGGAAACAACTGATCATCAGTGTAGATAGTCCTTAAAAAACCACAACCCTTCTACTTCTATTTTTTTTTCATTCTCTCGCTGCTCATACCTACTGGAAACCAAGTATTTTGTAGCTATTGGAGGTTAAAAAACTCCATTTTTTTTTTTTACCAAGATAAGGGTACCAGAAGACATGGTAAAACACTGTAGTTATGCAGCTAATATTTGTAAGAAGTTCATGCCCCCAGATACTGGAAGGGAGTTTGTAGGAACAAAATTAAAATGTTAGTATTTTGATTTATTATTTTTGAATCTGATACTCAGCTTTACAGAGCTCACTATAAAATGGTCACTACCACTGGGAGTCACACCCCAGTGATAGGTTAAGCAGTACATAGTAAGTTATTAACAATGACTACAAACAATGCATTGTTCTACTACATTTTATCTTAGAAGGCATTCAAGATAATCTTGTCATGCTCTATTCTTCCCCTCCCTCATAACACAGAGTCACAGCAAGCCATTTCCCCATCAGTAGACAATGACACATATTGCTGTAGTGGAGATAAAAGTTTGGTTTACTTACTGGAATAATCTTCTAAGAAAAAAGACCTGTATTTGGACAGTGGGCTGGTTTGTTTTTTGTTGGTTTTTTTTTTTTTAACTGGCAAGCTGAAAATATACCATCAGGAAAACAGAACGGTAACCCAATGGCAACCTGAGTAGGAATTACATGAGAGGTTTTCCAGTTTTCCACTTTGACAGAGACCTGCAAAATTCTTCAAAACTTCCCAGTCGCCATCCATTCCTCTGCAAGTTTCAGATCACTATTAGTATTTTGCACTAGAGCATCTTGCTCAAGTTTGCATTCCAAAATGGAAGTCCATTTTGTTTGGGCTCTACCAGTCAGCACCCAGTTTCCTGGTCAATAGAAAATAACCAACCAATAACCCGGGGAAAAAAACTTCTGGTGATTCACTGACGCAGCCTATGGCCCTCTGTCATGTTCACACACCCAGCAGAAGGCAAATCCAGCAGTTTCAGAAGAGACAACATGTCTTTTGCAGATAGAAGATAGATAGTATCTACCCAATATCACACTGATATCAGGTTAAATATATCAGGGTAATATTTAAACTTGTCTCATTATCTTCTATGATGACACATTCCGTATAGCCTTCAGCTCACAAGCGCTCAGACTGCGTGCTGAAATACTGCTTCCAGGTCACTGCTGCTTATTGGAAGACACTTCTGCCTCAGATCTGCAATAGCTGCTGAGATTTGCTTTACACATAAGTTTAAAAAAAAAAAACAACCTTGTTTCTGACCCAGGAACTGAGATACTAATCTTAATTCAGGCCAGGGTAAGGTAGCATGCAAAGAAAGCAATACCTGATTTATCACTACAGACAGAACAAGCACATAAGAAAAATTAGGTGCAGAAAAGTAAAAAAAAAAAAAGGGAGCCATGATTAATCCACATATACTAGTGGGTAACTTTCTGGTTTGGTCTTATAAACGAATTTGCTGTCTAGTCCTGGCAAAGTGACTGTTTCTGACCCAGGAACTGAGATACTAATCTTAATTCAGGCCAGGGTAAGGTAGCATGCAAAGAAAGCAATACCTGATTTATCACTACAGACAGAACAAGCACATATGAAAAATTAGGTGCAGAATAGTGAAAAAAAAAAAGGGTCATGATTAATCCACATCTACTAGCAGGTAACTTTCTGGTTTGGTCTTATAAACAGATTTGCTGTCTAGTCCTGGCGAAGTGATAGTCTGGGATTCATCAGTCTTATTTCACCTGTTTCACTTCCACACAGTTTCTCACCATCTCCTGTACCTGACTACCTTGTAAACAACCCCTTGTCTCAAGGAGTGGTAAAAGTCTCCTTCCTCCATTCTCAGGAGGCTCATTAGCCTAGTTCAAGGTGATAATGTCTCTTCGATTATAGACCACAAGATGCTCTGAGCTCCATCACCAAAACCAGGGCAGTCTCGCTGTTGTTCCCACTGCTTGTAAGTTTAACCACTAAAACTGACAGAAGACTGGAAAAACCGACAAGGAAGTTTTGCCGCCTTTTTAAATAAGTCAAAGCAGCTCACTGATGTCCAAAAAGTACCAGCACAGCACGAGGTAAATGGCAAGAATGGGAAGAAAGGCCTCCTTTCCCTCCTGGCAGCAATGAGCTATTGGATGAGCTCAAGCTGTACGTGAATCTGTACCTTACACTGAACCTCACAATCCGCGGTAATCCTCATCTTGTAACAACCATATGCAGTGCTTAGGTGTCTATATCCTGCATCACGTGGTTCTCGCCTGAGAGCAAACATGATAGCAGTTAATCATTGAGAAGCAACAAATCCCCAAGACCTTTCTCCTGTACTTTCACCTACACAACATACATGCATTTCCTCTCCTTCCCTTCTCCCACAAAAAGCCATTCTAGTCCATGCACAACTCATTGTGCACACACCTCTCCCTTTCTCCATTATTTTTCAAGAACTGAACAACCCCTTTCCAAAGTGGCTTATAAAAAAAATAAAATTCAGTGTCGGAAGCAACCCAGCAAGGCCCTGGAAGACATAACTGGAGCTAACTTTGCAAGTTATTGGCATTGAGACCTGACTTCTTCCATTGCGACAGGGCAGAGTAACAAGGGCACTGAGATGGACCTCTTCTTCTCAAAGATTTTGCCCAGGGCTTGTCACGTAAATCTAAGCAATAAACCAAGTGCCTGTGCTGTGAACAGTTAACATCTAAGCTTACCCCCTGGCTTCAGACAGAGAGAGCAGACATCTAAGCTTACCCCCTGGCTTCAGACAGTGAGAGCAGGTTACCCCTCTTACTCCCTGGCTTCAGACAGTGACAGCACGTTACTGTCCTCTCCATACCTCAGGATTTCACAGAAAAATAAGCAGCCTGGCACTCGAAGGAATCTGTCCAAGCTTTCTCCTTCTACTGAAGAGTTACTGCTCAGGCTGAACTGCATCTTTCTTAACCTCATGTAAAGAACAGTCACTGAGAAACCTCAGAAAAATATTTACATTTAGATTTAACTGGCTCCTGCTGAGCTCCTACTAACTGTTTTGTCTAGCAGTCCCATCATGAGAATTATCGAGTAACGCTACTATGCAAACACCTTGTTCTCTTACAGCACGTTGCTCAGCCTGTTGTGATGTGGAACATTTCCACAAAATACATAAATTCTTTTGGTAACTTAAATTAATACCGTTCTGGGGGAAAAAAAAAAAACAACAACAACCAAACAAACCAAACACAATAAAAAGTAGGTCTCAAGACTCCTCTCTCATCCTGCATGAAGACTTCTACAGTTTTTTGTACCTAATAAGCCATGAAAAGGGATGACAGACTAAGCCAATAGAGAAAAAACACATGACAGACTATCATGGGCAGGTATGTCGGTAAGGTAAAGGGACTCTAAAAACAGTCTACCCTCCTAAGACAACAAGTAACAGCCTTCCTGGTTTGTGTTATTAGAGTGACCGATAAGCAAACTGAAGATAAGCGATGGGAAAAACACCACAAACCAAAGTTAAAACAACTGGAGAGTGTCACTTTTTTATTGACTTTTTAAAGGAGCTGGGTATTAATACAATTAATAGTTTTAATACAGTCAACAGAGCAATACTTCTCACACCAAACCAGACCAGACAGAAGTGTAGGACGTGCTAAGCGTAGATGCAACCAATTCTGAGACAGCTAACAACATGTGGAAGATGGGATCAAACATACCACCCTTTAATCATAGATGGAGACAACACAAGGCCTTTCAATAAATTCTTAGATGCTGTGAAAACCCTGCTGCCCCATGAACAAATAAGCAAGCTTAAACCCTGTGAGTGAAGTATGTCTGCCATAGGGCCAGATGTTCAGAGAGGAGGAGGTTCTAGACACATGTGCCACAGCAGGACTGTCGGTGACCTACCATTCAGGTGTTTCGGTTGCACTTTCACAACTGCACCAAAAAGGACATACTTTTAAGATAACACACACCACTTCACCTGCAGCAAGGCTGCTCCCTCCACGCTGCCCGACCCTCACCTTGTTGTAGAACTCCTGCTCCCTGGGACCTCGAGGTGGTGGCTGCAACTGCTTCAGGACAGTCCCATCTGGATGCTGCAGTATACCTAGAAGAGAAGCATTTCCTTCAGGGCTTAGTTTTAAGAGACACAGCTTTTTCTTTTTCTTTCTAAACTGACAGCTCCTACACAAACCCCTGAGAAGGGGGTTGGTAGTATTCCTCTTTTTCTAGCCATCAGATGATTTGCTGGCTCTAATTCTGCTCAAGGCCACCACAGTTCTGGGATCTGACATTAGAAGTTCTACCCCAAAAAAACCCCCTCCATTCAACTATGGAAGTTTACACAGACACTCCCTTTTTAAATAACTGATAAGTTATTTTTCCAACAATGCCAAAAAGTTAAATCAGTCAGTACACAGTTTAATGCATTTCTCACTAATTAAAACAGACATAGATATCCTCTGAACTTATTTCTATAGTAGAGGCATAGAAAGAACATTTTTATGTTACTAGAAGTAGCACCCCTGTAGCACTCCATGCTAATCAGGTGCTACTATTTGTATAATCCATAATCATAACACAACACAGAATTTCACCTCAGCCAGGCAACCACCTTCATCATGCCCACACTAAAATCAACCAATATATGCTCCCGAAAAAACCTTAATGACCTTAATGACTTCCCAGATTGCTGAGCAGCTGCATAAGAAATGCAACCGAGTATCTGAGGGCACTCAAGAGGTGGATACGGGCAAAAATGGAGAAAAATAACTGCACCCCTGTGAAGTACACTCTAAATTTCAAGATCATCGGTTGCAAGAGAAAAAGAAAAACCCACTTCTGGCAAAGAAATTTTCTCCTAGGGTTTATTTGTAGCTTTTCAGATAGCAATTTATTTTGTTTAGAAGTGAAGCAAAAACGTCAACTGTATCCAAAACAGGTTCCATCTTCAGATTACCCCTTGAGCAAACATGGTAAAACGAGCCAAGAGCTTGGAGTCCCAAAAAGAGTTTGGAGTTGTAACAGCAACAGCGCTTTCACCTTTTAGAAAGCATTATCTCTGAAGGGGCTTTGTTGTGCAGTCTTGGAAACTAAACAAAATCTTTAGAGCCTGAGATACTTACTTTAAAACAACCACCAGATTTCAAAAAGCTGTTTCATTCGTTGGCTGTGCCAATGAGCAAAGAGGGGGTATAAAAATGCACATGGAACAGCTCTGCACTCAAGTTGCTTGCTAAAAACTGGATTTGGTATACGTTCCAGACCCAGAAAAAATAATACTGCCACACAACTGGGTGCAGGCTACCACAACATCTACAAGACACAACAGGCCCTCACTGCCCCCTTTTACATGTGCTAGAAACAACTTAGCAAAGAGCACAACATACCTGAATGAGTGTGCATTACTAATAATCACAACATTTAAAAAAAAAAAAATGGTTTTTCAACACATAATCCTCAAAATCTGCATGTTGGCTTTGATGATGGCCAGCAGTGTGCCCAGGTGGCCAAGAAGGCCACCAGCACCCCAGCCTGTATCAGGAACCATATGGTGAGTAGGACTTGGGAGGTGAACATCCCCCTGTCCTGGGCACTGGTGAGGCCCCACCTCGAGGCCTGGGTCCAGTTTTGGGCCTTCTCACAAAAAAGACATTGAGGGGCTAGAGCGGGTCCAGAGAAGGGCAACGGAGCTGGTGAGGGGTCTGGAGAACAAGTCTCCTTGAGGAGAGGCTGAGGGAGCTGGGGGTGTTCAGCCTAGAGAAAAGGAGGCTGAGGGGAGACCTTCTGGCTCTCTCCAACTCCCTGAAAGGAGGGTGTAGCCAGGGGGGGTCAGTCTCTGCTCCCAAGTCCCAGGCGATGGGACAAGAGGAAATGGCCTCAAGTTGCCCCAGGGGAGGTTCAGGTTGGAGAGTAGGAAACATGTTGACACAGAAAGGGTTCTGAAGCCTTGGAATGGGCTGCCCAGGGAAGGGGTTGAGGCCCCATCCCTGGAGGGATTGAAAAGCCGGGTTGACGACGTGCTTAGAGACATGGTTTAGTGATGGGTTTTATCAGAGTGAGGTTGATGGTTGGACTAGATGATCTCAAAGGTCCCTTCCAACGTGGACAATTCTATGATGATTCTATGAAATTACTTGAAGAGTTTAACATAACCTGTCGTTGTCTAAAGTTCCCTCATACTCTAGATTTCTTGATAGACTAGAGCACCTACTCTGTACCTGTGACTGGGGCAGGCCTGGAAACCAAAGAGATTCACATTTCAACACTCACCACAAAGATGAAAACTCCATAACCTTCCCTCTGGTCTACAGCAACCACCAGAGATACCATCACCTGCAGATCGTACTAAACTATGGATGTCGGTCATGGTTTTGTTCTAGGGTTCCTGAGGCTTTTCAGCACAGACAGGGAGTGTTATTGTTTCAACGTATGAATAAGCAATTTAACATTTCTGAAGAAGCAGCAGAACTATACCGAAATTAAAATTCTGAAGTATCTCACAGACATCTCTGTACGTCTCTGCATGCAAAGCTTGTCAGCATTCTGCAATTCAAACCTACTGCAAAAATAACAAATGCAGATGTATGCGTTCTGCTAAACAAAAATTATCACATCCAATCCGCATGCCTCACTGAACTACAGACAAAACCTGTTCTGCGCAAACACGCTGAACGTTTACTTTAGAAGAGATCCTCTGCCCTCTGAAGGTATCTAATAAGGACTTTATCCCATGGGATAAAACCACAAACCGAGGTGGTTATCTTACTTACTGCCCATGATTTACTCTGTTGCAGGGGGGAGCACTACTGAACAGTCACTGGGAGCAAAGGGAAAATGGGAAAGTTATTCAGGAACCCTATAGCAAAGAAACTTTAAGGCATACTTTAACCAAAAAAAAAAAACCCAAACCCAACAGTTAAAAAATACTTTGAATACCTTCATGTCCTCTGCATGTTTGTAAGTGGGGACAGAAGGGAAGCTGAGCACAGGGAACAGAGGTGATATGCAGGAGGAAGCTGGGCAGAACAAGGCAGGCTCTGAGCTTGAATCAGTAAACAGCTCAGATACTAAAACCAGCCGGGTACAACCTTCAAGGTACATTTGCCATGTTGCATGCATAGCAACAGAGGTATCCTGACAAAAAGGCATCGTAGTTTTATAGATTTTAAGCTTTTAAAATGCTAGAGGTTCAACGGGGTAGAAAAAGGCAGAAGGGAAAAGAACAGGAAGGCTGACTACTGTAGGAAAAAGCAGAAAAGGCAATGGAGAAGGTAGAAGACATGCTGGTCTCCTCACACATGCTTAAAGTTCTCACAGATTCTGGCCTACAGATTGTCTGTGATATTCCTTACCAGTGCTATTAGCAACTACCTATATCCAAACATCTGGCTGCTAGCTTCACAACAAAGCCACCACAGGGAGCAGCACTGCAGAATTATACATGCCCCTGTATCTTTAGCATCTCGACTGCCTGCACTCCTACATACAACAGCTGTAAAGAAATAAAACGAGAAGATTCAGTTACAAAAAAATGAGAAAGCTGTGACTGCCAGAGTAGCTTTGGTCTTTGCTTAAATGTAAAACTCGGTCTCTAAGATGAGATCATCAACCCTGGTGGTAACTCTGCAGGAAGATCTTGGTTCTTGCTCATGAGATGTCATGGAGCCAGCTTTACCTAATCCATTTGAGCTGCACCCACAATGCGAACGGTGTTTCACCTGTGTTCTCTTGATCCAACTGCGATAAAATTGACGTGCCACAGGTGAGGCTCTCCCTGAAGTAAGCCTTTTTGGCCCAATCCCACCCTGGATTATGATAGATGAACAACGAGGCAGACCTCCAGCTCCGAGGATCCAACGTACCTCCCTCAGCATTTTATTGCACCGGTTACAGCAGGAGCAAGGGACAAGAATTGCTTTGCTGTGGAGATTATCAGCGGCACGACATGCCACAGACGCAGGCTGTAGATAAGACGAACTCGCAGCTCCATTAGCGCTGTAATTCCTACTCACTGAGGGTGGAAGGGGTTATGAAGTTCAGCACTTGGCCCATTGGGCAGAGGCAGCTCCTACCGACGGGGTTCAAAGGCACTATGACAGCAGGTACTTGTTATAGCTACTCTCAAAGGGCACGCCGAGAGCTGAATGGACATATATACCTTACATTTGGCTCAGAGGCGGGAGTTACACCAAATGTGAGGTCCCGGGAAGGTGAGGAATGCCATTTAGCAACCTTAACTTGGGCACTGACCACTGTCTATGTTAAAAGGCACCTTCACCAGAAGGGCCACCACCTCGCTCCTCAGCCTGGAATTAAAAGGGAAGTTTAAAGCTAGCGGAGGCAGGCTTCAAAACGCAGGATCCTTGCAGTACTTGTATTATTAGACCCCTCGCAAGCCACTGGGCTGAACGTACCCTTACCACCAAATAAACAAACAACTAAGAGGTTACCCCAGGTTAGTAAATTGCTTACTAACGTCTTCCTGAAGTTTGTGGTTTGAGGGTTCCCTTTAGATAAAGCACAGTTTCAACATACGTTCTCTGAAGGTACCGGCACGTCATTACCTAAATTCCTGGTGTTTTTTGTTGTTTTTTTCTTTAAAAAGCTGCCTGTTACAATCTATAACGCAGTCGAACCGCAGCCTCCCTGTGCCCATTAACCCCCCCCCAGTCCCAACACCCTGTCATCATTTATGAAAACCACCAAAACCCCAGATTTTCAGCAGCGGCGACACCTCACACCAGCCCGAGCTCCTCCAGCCCCTCCAGGAGGACACAGACCCTGCCCGGGGGAGGCCACGGACCCCAGGGGCACCGGGGGGGGCCAAAAGCTACCGGTACCTCTGCTGGGGAAGCGGGCCCTCAGGTGCCATCTCCCCCCTCCCGCCACCGGCCAGCGCCTCCCGCCTCTCCCCGGCACCCCCCCCCCAACACCGGGGCTACCGGCCGCCGCCAGCGGGACGTGAGGAGAATTG